ATAATATCTGGGGAAGTGTATAAATTATGTAGTTCTTCATTACGCGAATTTCTCCAACTTCCTGCAAATTTATTATTTGCTACTCGTATGTAAATGAGGTATATTGCTTAAAAAACTTTTTTAAAAAAATAATGAATGTAGAACAATACTAAATCGGTTCCTCAGTAAAACCACAAAGCGTGTTTCAAATATAACCCACAGCCTCATGAAATTTCACGTAATGGCTTGAACTTGTATTGCGGGTCATCTACAGCAGCGGCGATAGCTGTTTTAATAATGACTATCCTTAGCTCAGTGGATCCCTGGGTCATAATCTGACCTCGTAACAGCTATCGTAAGCTCCGCTAAAGGGGCCAAAATGGTAGTAACTAATCACATAGAATGTGAAAATAGATAATGTCTGTGTGAGGATTAAGTGTACAGAATTTACATTGAAACATGAATTCTGTGTAATGGAAGTGTTCAGTACGTAACGTCAGCTGTTCGATATCCGTGTCTGTGGTTCGATTGACTTCATATCGATAGGTTTATGTCTGTAATAATAGACTTATACGTGCAATAAACTAACATAAATGCCGATAAAGTGTGGAAAATGGTCTGTGTCGAAGTAATGAACAAGAAGTTAACACATTCTAGAGTGTTACTTCGTAATTGATTGCTTCACTCAAGGAGAATTAATGTGTCAAAAGAACATGGATTAAGCAACTAGACATTTAATGTTTTATCACTTCTCCTTCGCTTGACGATCGAGTTATCCCCATAAGTTTGGGGTAGGGATTTAACGACAAGAGTGTTTTGTTTGTGGTTGTGAATTCCATTTCAGAAAATCACGTGGATTTGATGAGAGAATTATATTAAATTATATAGTATGAATAGACTCTTTTCTATTCTGATTGTGTTAATTAAGCTAAGCAGGAATAATAAATAATATTCGTTGGACTTTTACTGTGCCTTGTGAGTGGAAACAGATTAAGGTCTTTATTCTTATGCTTACATTTGTGTAGCGTCTACAGGAAAGGCTTCATTTGCTAGACCTACGTGTAGATGGAAGGTTATTATTAAAATGTAAGTTGTGAAATGTATGTGTGAATTTAATGACTAGATTAAATTGAATAAGAATGCAATAATATTGGGAGATGTTGTAAACAATGTGATGAACACACACAGGCTTTGAATTTCTTGGTCAGCTGAGTACTATCAATTTCAAGGGAATATTCTGCATTAGACGTTCGCTAATGAGTGAGTTAATCTTTCAATCAGTTAACTAATTAGTTTAAATATCTTCATTTTATGACCTGTAGCTGTAAAATCATACGATACAAAATTTTAAAAGCGTTAATATGACAAGCTACACGAAAATTACACATTATAAATACACAGTTATGTTCTCATGCTTCGTCGTGTCAGTAGAAGTTTGATATTAACTCCACAAAAACTAAGTTACGTAAACAAGAGAACAGGGAGTCGCGCATGTGGAAAATAATACAATACACATTTTACGAGTTTCTCTTCCTACCATTATGAACACACAACACGGAAGGCAATTTTTAATACAATGTAAACTTTCCAGACAGGATTACAGAAGCCGGGACAGGGAAAGAACGGATATAAATTCTCCCCTCTGCCTAGCATTTAGCGACAAATGCACGTGTCATGAACTGATGCGGTGTTAGACATTTTTACTTCTCCTTTTACATAAAAACATATGACGTCCCGGAAGCTCGCTGCGAACTCAGATAATCTTTTCCAATGGGCCGACATATTAAGTTGTAATATTTTTATCTGATAACGACAGCGGCGAGCATCTCATTTCGTAATATAATGTGTATACTTCTTTTTGCAATCATAATGGGTCAGTTCACCAACAATTTGTAGACTTCAGGAAGACATATGTCTCAGTTGGAAAAGAGATACTGTATGGCATTTTGATTGAGTTTGGAATAACAAACAAACTTGTTAGGTTAATTAAGATGTCTATGGACGGGGTGTCTAGTGGAGTTCGTATAGGTAACCTTCTGTCGGATTCTTTCCCAGTGCACAATGGTGTCAAACAGGGGGATGTTTTATCCCCAATGCTTTTTTTTAATTTTGTTCTAAAACATGTCATCAGGATAATTAGAGGGAATCAAGAAGGGCTGGAATTTAATAGTCTACACCAGGTACTTGCCTATGCTGATGATGTAAATTTGCTGGAGGATGGTGTGGTACCATAACTAAGAATGCAGAAACTTTCCTACAGGCTACCAAGGAAATAGGCAATAGGAAATGCAGAAAAAACTAAATGCATGGTCGTAATACGGGGTCATCATCAGCAAAAACGAGAGAAAATGTTTCATAATTTAAGTATTTGGGAACAACAATAACATCAAATAATATGCGGAAGGTAGACGTAACAAGTTCTCCTTAGATAATTTCTTCCGTCATATAAACTCTTTCTTCCAACATTTCTCTGCCTTCTGGTCTTCAGTGTATTCTCTGTACCTCAGTCGTACTTTAGTCATATGTACTGTGTGCAGCTTCCAATACCTTAACTTTCTTTTCTCGTTTTGGTTCTCATTTTTTGTCAAGTAATCCCCGAAGGATATCACCCACGTACGCACTTGTGCTTGGCATGCAAAAACGTATTACAATTCAAGCCTTGGGGTCACGGTCATATATTTCCCACTTCATCTATCCTGAGGCGAGTTGAGAATTTAATATTCAGTAAATGGCTGTCCGCCATATTGCTTTGGCTGAAACAGATCAAGAAACAAATTCATAGGGGTGATAGAGACATACCGCTTCATCTCAGTAACTGAATAACTACAACATAAAAGCCCAAGAAGGGATACAGCTGTAATAATACACGGAGGGGAAAGTGGAATATATTTACGAATTCTTGGCCATGTATACTCTGTATTATGACCCAGAAAGTTTTTTTGAACACGTGCTGTGTCAAATTTGTCAACCACGTGGTTTTTTTTACAGCTTTAGAAGGGTAGAGTTTGAGACTAAAATTTTAGTTACGTGTTGTATGCTGTAAATACTGTAGTTCATTTAATTAAACTTGGGCTACATTTTTAAAAAAATAATATAAGTATATCCCCCATGCGCGCTACGTGATTATATCTCGTCACTTCAAGCATGGCACTCCTCGAAAGAGTATGCCTTCGTTCGTTTATGCGGCGATAATTTTTAGTGTACATTTCTCATGTAAGAAAATTGTTGTCTTAGTTCCATTATCTCCGAAAATGTGAATGGTTTTGTAATAAATTTCGTCTTACCTGTATGCACTAAACGTATTTAGTTATTAGACATTTGTTGAAACTTAACTCTTGTTTCTCCTAAGTATTTTCCTTCTTCTCATGCAGAAAATTTAAAGTGTTTTGTCATAAATTACGTACAAGTATTAATTTCGTCAAGACGTTATTGGAGGGCTGCAGTAATCAGTATTTATTGATGAAATGGAAGGCGCTAGGCGTAGAGAACTAATGAATAGGAAATTGTCGGAGAGTAAGACATCAGCTGTGCTGGATCGCCGGAGAATGCTTGTAAAATACGACGCTGTGCGCTAGATGGCAAATAAAATCACCACTTAATTACCCTTTATGCTAGAAGGGGCCAGATTTTACTCCCTGTTATTATGTTCTTTTCCACAGATTACAAACCACTGTCTTTAAAATAAATTTCCTGGTTCGATATCTTAGTATTTGAAGCTGTATTCTGTCTCCATCATCATGGCTATCATCGCCCTGACAATAGACGCAGCAAGGAGCTCTGAAACGTCGGAAAACTTCTACCAGACTACACGGCACTACAACCCAGAAGACAGCCATCTTCAGCATGTTTTAAATTAACGTGTTAGTGCAAAATGTTAACAAAGTACCAGTTATGTAACAAATTGTGTTAGGTAATTTTGCACATTCTGAAAAGTAATTACATAAAGGGCAAAGATAGTGTGAAATTAGAAATGTAAGCCACCCTAACACTTTAGTGTAAGCCGTTGAAATAAACTGCAATTCAATGAAAACGTCTTTAGCTAGATCTGGTACTAGAAGCTTGTCTCCTGACGCCGTTAACAGTTGTTAAATTCAGTTTCGAAACTGATTCTTTTTTTCACTTAACTTGAAACCTAACTTTTCGGTGTAATGGAACCATTCCATTTAGAAGTTTGTTACCTAGTTTGTAAGAAAGCTTCTGTAGAATTTTGTTAAGGAACGTGCACCTGTCGAATTGCAACAGAGGGTTGTGTGAACGCCATGGTTTCCATGGCAACTGTACTATTCATGGTTACCTTTTGGCTTGTGTTAATGGAATGCTTTCTGTGAAGATTAGTTTAACTTCTTAGTATTCAGTTAACAGTTTCTTTAAAGTTAATGAAACACGTCTTCTTGTTTCGCTTATCTGCGGGGTTAAACTAGCGAACAGAGAAGTTAGAAGCCCTTGTTGTATGTTTGTTTTAGAATTCTGAATTCTGAATACATTACGCAATCATCTTCATTAATAATCGAAATTTATGAAATATATTCGTAAAACACCAAGATATTATAAATTGTTTGATTAGTTTTCACTTATTTTAGAATATTTACAAATTAAACATTGATATTCAATCATTTCTAATCCTTGTGCGTATAAATATTTTTTCTGGACGGTCACGATGTCTTTTACTTTAAGAATTATTAACTGGAAATAATATGTGAGACATTTCAGTGAATGCAATATGCATTTTTTTGAAGTCTTCAGCCAAGAAAAATAATTTCGGTTATTACAATGACCTGAAAGAGTAAAACATACAGAGTAATGATTATACTACAAGTAATATACATTAATCATAAATACTTCACGTGATAACGCAGCTGATCAAATCCTTGTACATGATTAATTGCATGATGACAATGACGTAATTGACCAGTGTCATCCGAGATGGGAAAGCCGGTTTAATTGTAATTCTGATTAGTCGAATATTCCTAACGTGC